TTTTGTCTCAAAAAAACAAAAAACAAAACACAAACAAACAAACAAACAAACAAAAACTTGAGATACAAGTTACTAAACAGAGTGTATTCCTGTGAGGGGGTCCTGATTGCTGTTCTTACTTGTAGTTTTTGAGAGATCCCTGTGGTTTCTTCCTTCTAGGATAGACTGTGGCTAATTTCTATGTAGGTTATATTATTAAAAATGGGATTTAATTTTTATGTTAATGACATCTGACTGAAAACACACAGCTCTGGAGCCAGAGCAGTTCCTGATACTGCTTCTTTAGTCTGGTCTGTGGTGAACAAACATATATTATCCACTTTGCAGTGAAATCTGTTATGGACCAGGATGGAGTCTTAGAAACTGTCACTCCACATAATATTTGTCCCCAAATAAACCTTAGGCTAGGCATGTTGGGTGTGTTTATACAGGCAAATGGATTTCAGTACAAAACTCTGAAGAAGAGTCTAACTTAACTTTCATCCTTTCTATATAGGTTTCAAAATTTTTTCTTTATTCATTTGGATGGCCTATAGGTAGAATATCCACATGCATGGATCACATGGACACACTATTCTAAAGGGAAATAAAATATTGTCAATAATAACTTTATATGCTTTTTCATATCAAATGAGTATAATATTTAATATAAATTTTTATTTTAAAAGTCTCGTTCTATCTTTGTCTCTAATTAATGCTTTCTAGGAATAATAAACATCTTGTGAAATGACTTCTTTTATATATTTGAAGACTATTTCAAATATTTGGCATTTACTTTACTTTAATGACTTGAGTGATTCCAAGTTCCAATATTCTGTGTGGGGTGGTAGGCTGTGAGTGGCAGCTGGGTACCTGGTCAAGCAGGTCTTGAATCCTGGAGTCCCTCCAGGGGAGGAAGGAGTTTGGCCTTCCTCCTAGGCCCGTGGCTCCTTTCACATAGCTACAGGTCTCTACAGCCCCTCGCAAAAAGAGATTTGTGGCCATCAGTCATGTAGCATAGGTAGAGGGTGTGACACAGGCTGAAGAGCCTTAAGATATCTCCATATTCATGAGATACCTAAAGGCCCAAGGGCATAGTCAATTAAGCATTCTTTTCCAGATCCTCCTCCTCAAAACTAGTATTTAATCTCAGGCCTGCCCTGAGAACACAGGGTATAGCTTCATCCATTTTCTGCCATGACAATAAACATTTTAAGGCCATGAACTACCTCTCTTCTCTGGGGCCCATTGTGGGGAACCATGGAGAAGGTCTTACTACCAAGCCACCTTCTAACCTCCTGCTGACGACCTCTCTACATTCAAGCCATGGAGGCCACCAACTCAAGCAAGACTCCTTCAGCTTCGGGTCAGTCCAGCCTGTAACCCCCCCCCACCCCTTGTCTTGCCCCTTCTGGTTCCCACCTGCCTTCTGGCCTGGGGATCCTCAACCCAAGAGCTCAGGCTTCCTGCAGGACTTCAGACGATGTTCCCTTCACCCACAGAATAGTGCCCTGCTGCTTCTCAAGGTCAAATGTCCACCCGGAGCAGCATGGAGTGAACACAGTCAAAGTCTCAACCTCCCTGAGCTATGCAGAGGTGGGACTCATAATTCAATCAAACAGGACCCATGCCCATGTGAATGCATCACAGCCCAACACTTCTGTATAGCTACTAATACAGAGTTTTCCTCTGTGGTTGCCCTACCATTTAAAAATGGACATTTGTTCCCCTAAGGGCTACAGAAGCACTATCTTGTATGGCTGTAATGTTAGCCATGTGTATCATTTTAACCCTTCTGACTAACTAGATTCTGAAAGTAAAAAGGAAAATTTTCAAATTAATTTTAATACCGTCTAATCCAATATCTCATTCAGACCTCAAATAAAGAAATTCACTCAGAAGATTATGAAGACCCATTTACATGTTAGATGTCTTCTCAGGGATTGGCTTGTGTTTACAGAGAATAAAGAAGGGAAACACAGGCAGGATTCTGTCTTTTCCAGAAAAAAACTCAAGATTCATTTCCAGAGTTTTCCAATAGACCTGGAGAAGTCTAGTCAAGTTGCTCAGAACCATCCACTTAAGATTAGCTGATTTACAGACATCCACAGCCAAACAGTGGATAGGGCTTGGAGACTCTTATGGAAAAATAAGAGGAAGAATTGTGACCTCAAAGGGAATAGGAACTCCACAGGAAGAACAACAGAGTCAACTAACCTTGGGGCTCTTAGCGTCTGAACCACCAATCAAAGAACATACACCAGCTGGACCTAAGCCTCCATATGTAGCAGATGTGTTACATGTGGGTCTCAAACAACTGGATTGGAGGCTATCCCAAAAGCTGTTGCCTGCACGTGAAATATGTTCTCCTAACTGGACTGCTTTTCCTGACCTCAGAGGGAGAGGAATCACCTAGCTGTGCAGAGACTTGAGCTGAGGATACCCAGGACGACCCCTATCTACTCAGAGAAGGGGAAATCGGGGAAGAATTGTGGGAGGAGGCAGTAAGCTGGATATAAAATTAAATTTAAAGAAGATTAGCTGATTATTAGTGGTTTTAATTACATTTACTGCAACTTTCGAAAACTCCTAATTTGTATTTGCTACACTAATCTAGCCACATTGACTTATTAATAAAGCCACAGGTGGTATAGCTTAAGAAGCACCATTGCACAACATGAGTGATATAAAGAACATTAAACAACGACCCTATTTTCTAACTGTAGTCTTCATAATTCAGGATCTACTTTATTATTATAAACAATATTAATTTGGGCTTGTCTCATATATGAATATGGACTGAGATCTGAACAATGGTGATGTATTTGATACTGCTTATTGCATATATTTGAGCAATGATTCTCACTGGTGTTTCATTTTGTGTGACAGGAAACATTTTCAAATTGTTTTTTATTATATTCCCCCCAATCTCCCTGGCCCCATTCACCCTCCACATCTTATACCTCCTCTCAAAGCCCCTGTCTCTGAGAGGCTGTCCCCACCCAACCAGACCTCTAAACTCCCTGTGGCCTTCAGTCTCTTGAGGGTTAGGTGCACCTTCTCTGACTGAAATCTGACCCCTGTGGCTGAATGAGGGAAAGCCTGGAAGAAGCTGAGAAGGAGGGTGACCCTGTAGGAGGATCAGCAATCTCAATTAACCTGGACCCCCAACCAGGCAGCATTCTCATCATTGTCACAATTAAAAGTGTTTATGGCACTAATAGCACCAATTAGATAGAGACCAAAGAGATTGTTATGTATCATTGAATGCAAAGGATTGTCCCATAGTGGGACCAGATCATATTCACCCAATTGAAGATCACAGTGCTACGCTGAGAAACCTGCTGTGAAGTTGAATGTGGAGATATTAAGGAAAATCAAAAGAAAACTGTATTGATATGTCCAGACAGAAATGTTCTTTGATGTTTTGTTTCGGTGCCTTGCTGACTTTTTTTTTTTTCAGAGTTATGAGTGAACTTGTACCCTCATCAGCACCTGTCTGTTTGACATTATTCAATGTCACAATGAGATGAGAGTTAACAAATGACATTGTACATATTGAGATAATTGATTAATGTTAGAAACTGAGGGAAGACTTCACGGTTATACATATCTGCTTAGAAGAGGAATAAATGATGTCAATATGTTTTTTACAGGATATTGAGAGTTTCTGAATGGCTTGTCTTGATCGAGTAGACATAACAAAGATAAACATGCAAATTAACAGATGCAGATTTTAAAGTATGTACAGTAATTACTGTCTTCTCTGACCAGCTGTTTAACAAATGAGTTAAACAAACAAAATCATTGGCCTTTTTAAAGAAAGCACATGATATTTAAGAATAAGGAACTTTTTAGAGGTAGCAACAAATCTCATCACAAATTTATTTCTGTCCAAATTAATGGGAATTCAGAATTTTATATATATATATATATATATATATATATATATTATATATATGTATATACATATATATATATATGTATATGTGCCACATCTAGTTGGGACAATTTTTGTTTAAATGCAATGTCAAGTGCCACTCATAAACATATTTTGGAGTCAATAGTTCTAGCATGTACTTCCTGTTAGTGGCTACAGTTCACTTCATAAACTCTTAATTAAGTATGTAAAAGCTAAGTTATCCTAAATCTAAATGAAATTCATATAAATGTTCTCAGTTTGCATTGAAAGTAATTAAAGTTAAGGAGAATCAGAGTTTGTGATCATTTTCTGAAAATAGTGGCAGGCATAATGAAATTCTTGCTTTTTTTTTTCTAATTTTGTGATGATTCTAGTTTTCCCTTTATTTCAATAAGGAAGTGATTTTATACAGTAATTATTAACAAGCCTCTTTCAGTTCTCAGAAAGAAAGAACCATCCTGCCTCTCTGTCTTGGGCTTGGAAATCATCTTATAGTAAAGACAAACTAGACTCATTCCTTCCTGTTTATGATTAAACATGTTTCTCAAGGATTTGGCTAAGCTCCACCACAAACCTCAACTACAAATGTTTCTGTATTACCTGTTCCAGGAACTAGCAGCTATCCTTTGTTTCAAAACTATCTTGCAACCCTACTTTTGTTTCAAAAGGTCAAAATGTCATTATGACCACCTTGCAGTCACGACTTTGTTTCAGGATGTTATTACTAACTTGTTCTGCGTATGTTTTGTTCCTGTAACCCCACCTGTGTCACCAGCCAAATTTCCTATTTAGAACCCTCCTAAACCTGAGCTATAAAAGCATTGTTTTCCTCATGTCCAATGCTGACTCCTCAAAGCCCATCTTAGGTGGGGGAAGTTCATGGTCACAGCTAAAAAAGCTTGCTTTACTTAGTAGCTGGCTTTAATTAATTTGGCCATGATTATTTTGGTTGGTGGTCTTTCTCCTCCCATCTTTGGGATTAACACATCCTTCTTCGAAAATTTTGTACTTGTTATGAAATTTGTAAGTTTAGTTACTGGTATGGTTTAAATTTTATACTTTTTCTGGTTTGTAAAATACATATTCTATGTTTCCATAGAAATACACAAGGAAAGGGCTGAAAAGCAGGAGAAACCTGAGAAGAAAATACAAACTAAAGGTACACGTTTCATTTTATGTTGATGATGCTCCTTTGTCTCCTCCCCTTGCAGCTTCTCCTGCTCTTGCTCCTGTTCTTGCTCCTCCTTCGCTTCTCCCTCATCCTTCTCCTGTTCCTTCTTCTCATCCCTCTTCCTCCTATTCACCTTCATTTTGAGGGGGTACACATTTTTTAGTATACTTGAATGACACAAAAAAACATTTCCATGATTAAGATTTTTACTTCTAATTTTTATGATAGTCTTCATATGTAAATATTTTTTTCCAGGTAATTCCAGGTGTGAATATATAACGTCCACTGGTAAAAATCAAAGTAGTTTCAAAATTGGTGAAAATCTTTACTTATAACTGTTTTTCTTTAATAAATAGCATTATGAATATTGTTTTACTTAACACACATGTGATTTTCCTTTCATCACTTCTTATAATAATTTGAAATTCACATTTTAAACACAGAGTTTATATAACATTGAATGCCTTTTTAATTACTAGTGCACATAGGTAGACTCATTAGATTGCATCCCTGATCTTGTACTCTCTTCACAGCTTCAAGTGGTTGAATGACTGTGACAATATAGTAATTATTAGTCCTTCTGCCAGTCTGAGTCTGAATGCAGGAACTATGCTCATATAGTAGACGCATTTCAATATAGCCAACCTGATCTTGCTCATCTGACAAGTGATATTTTTCTGTGGGTTATCTATGAAGCCACAATTCTTTCAATAAACATATAGCAAGCAGTAACATTCAATATGAACAAATTTCTAAACATGACCAGATTTTCCAAAGGGCAGTTATGCATACTTTTGGAGAATGTGTGAAAAATTCTCATCATAATCATATTTTTTATTATCCAATAGAATTATATATTTGGAAATGATCAATTAACAAGATGTCCACACAATTAGAATTGTTACCAAACATCTAACCTTTTGATAAGTAGCTGCCCAGGACTGCTCTCAAACCATCCATCCTCCTCCATGGTTGCTAGTCTCCTTGCTCCTCCCCATTCTTTACTTCTCTCCTCCCAACTCCTTACTCCACCTACTATTGTTTGTTTAAAAATTTTTATTGGATATTTTAGTTATTTACAATACAGATGGCATCCCGTTTCCCCATTTACCCTCCCTAGAAATACCTCTTCAATCCCCCCTCCTCCTTTATGCTTTTATACCATTTTAATTACATGCATGTATTAAGATCAGTTCTAGATGGAGGAACTAGCAATACAATAGACACAAATAGTCAAGGAACAAGCCAGATGATAAACATAAATGTCAAAGAACAAGCAAAGCAGTAAACAAAATTCTGTGAACACTCCTGTGTCACTGTTTCTCAGGGCTTATCAGAATGACCAAAGTATCTGAGCCTACTTTCCTGTCCTAGCCAATGTCATTTTCATGTCTGAAGCCTACTTCCTTGTTCTAGCCTAAAATTTAGATTCCTTTTTAAAATTACTTCTTTTTTCTAGCCTAAGATTTAGATTCCTGCCTGAGATTACTTCTTTGTTCTATCCTAAGATTTAGATTTCTAACTGAAAATACTTCTTTGTTCTAGCCTAATGTCAGATTCCTGCCTGAAGCTTACTTCCTTGTCCTTGGCCAATGTCAGATTCTTCCCAAGTAGCCCCAAAGGCTCCCCTCCTCTCCCTGTTTTTTATTTCATAAACAAGACTGATCCTGTCTTAGGTCATTCTGAAAAGAATGCCTTTCTTACCCATCATGGAATATGGATTGTCAAAAGCAATGCATTTCTGTCTAAGGTTGGTAAGACTCTGTGTAGAATCTTACCCATCCTTGGCTTGCCAGCTTGTTAATTTAATAACTATTTAATAACTAGTCTGGGGGTCCATTTTCAGTTTCAAGCCATGTACTTTGGCTGCCAACATGTTGATGCTGTTAAAGAGAAGCTTTTACACAATGGGCAGGAATAAAAGTATTCCCAGGACAAAAAGGACTAGCATGATCAAGCTATATATGCCATTTTTGTAGCTTGACCAAAATAGAAAAATTGATCTCAGGACATGGGTAATTTTATCTGCAGTATCTACTGCATCAACGCTCAGCAGAGCAGCATTCTTGAAATCCATAAGTATCATGAGTATCATAAGTATCATAAGTATCACGATTCCTATGTATCATGAAAACATACTGAGAGGTGCTAGAATTATGCCAAATACCCTGCAAATGTCATTAAACATCTTCCTAATTATAATGACTACCATGGTAAATTGTAGAACTAATATGAATCCAATGGTATTTGGCATGACCCTCAAGATGGCTCCTTACCCTTAAATTCTGAACCTCCTTCCAGTAATTTGAATAAGATAAAGAGCATCTATCTGTTGTTCCAAATGCCTATCTAAATCTACTTGTATATTCAACACATTAGAATCATTTTTTGCTAAATGATTAACAAAAGTAGTTGTCTTAACTTCTCGTGTCACCGCAATTGCAGAAGCAGTGGTGCTTGCAATTGATGTAATTAAAGCTGATATACCAGCAATAATCAAGCCCACTACCCTCTTGCTTCTGCTTGAAGCCTGACTCATTTCTTCAGTACTTGGGCAGGGACTGAAAAAGGGAACCATGACTAACCTGGCTGCTTCTCTCTTCCTGAATTAAAGAGTAATTCAACTGGTTCCAATTGGGGATTTTGCAGACTCCATTGTTATTTAACTGTGAGGCTGCAGAAGTGGGTAACCTAATGTACACGGGAGCATTTGCATTTTGTGCCTAGCTCTCAGAATCCTGCTGTCAAACCTTTAAGCAGCAGGCTGAAGAGTGGGTTTATTAAACCAGTGAGTCTCATGTAATTAAAACACTGGATTTGGCTGAAGTTTAAAGTAAATTTGTCAAAGGCTGTGCTGGAGATTAGTCACCTGAATATGTTTCTTGAGTAGAATATCAGAATAAAATGAATAATTTTGAGAGATGAAAAGACAGACAAAGAAAGATAGATAGTAGACAGTCAGATAGATGCATGATAGAAGAGAGTTAGGTAGATAGAAAGAGATAGACAGAGTACAAAGATACATTAATATTTTAATCTACTTTTCCCCTTTATGGGAACATAAATGGAATATTTCATTTGCTTTCTAGTGTCCTATCTGTAACTGAGATAGAATAATGTTTATATTTTGTTCCTCAATAGTTTACTGACAATGTAAAAATAACTACATTTTTACAAACACTTTGAGACCTGTTTGTATATGTAGTAGATAAATGAAATGTTCTCTAAATTACATTCCAGTTTTACTATGGATAAATGTGATGGCTTGTTGTGGTTTACATTGCCATTAAAACAATTGTAACTCTTTTTTAAAAAAAGTATACAACACTTCTAAGATGTGATCATTATAAACAAATACCTTATCTTAAAATTTTTGAATATTCTAAAACTGAAGTATTTTATGGACAGATAAGAGTTTTGGTGGTAAATAAAAATAGATTATATGCTATTTCACTTTCTTTTGTTTTTTTTTCTCTTTTCCTCTTTCAGCTGACTGCCACCTTTAAAAAAATAACAAAACAAACAAACAAAAAAACCAAAACTTCTTCTGACTCATATAAAGACTTTAATAATACATGATGAAGAGGCAGACAGATTTCTGAGTTCCAGGACAGCTAGGGTTATACAGAGAAACCCTGTCTCAAAAAAACGAAAAACCAAAAAAAAAAAAAAGTGATGAGTTTATGATTGGAATATCTACTCATCAAAGAAACACAGAAAAGTAAACAGTATGGAATGCCAGAGAACAAATAGTTCTAAAATCCAATCCACTCAAATATGTTAAGGGGTCATATTAAAGGGGAACATAAATAATTTCAATACTGACTATTAGGTGTAAAAAATAAGATAAAATTTTTAGTTTTTGATGCTAGATGATTTAACTTTTTAAGATACTAATTCTTCTATTTTGCTTCTTTGTTTATTTTGATGCCTTTCCTTGAGCGAAGAATAGGAGAGTTTCATGGAGTTAAAGAATAAACCTGGTAGTATAAATCTATTATTGCTTTAAGCATAAGCTCTGATATGTTAGTTAGCATTGGCCTTCAAACTAAATTAGCTTTGGTCATATTTCCCTATAAGAATGTAGGAATTTGGTCTGTGGTTATCACCTGGACAATATACGTACCTGTGAGCTTGTACTGAGTCAGCATAGTGAAGAATACAGTGGATTGTTAAGTTGGCTTAGTAGAAACATAACCGAACTGTAACTCACCCTGGATTACTAATTGTTATTAACTCAAATATGAATGTGTGTAATGAGTTCCCCCAAATAAAAGAAAGGCTCTGAGCAGCAAGATTTAACACAATTCTCTTTCCATACAAGGGTGACAGTTCGTAATAAAAGCTTTCATAGGTCAAAATGGTCTTGTAGAACAGCTTTTATGTAAAATCTAAGATTTTATAATGTCTACTTATCAAGTTAAAAGAGCTAATAAATATGAAGATAAAGATGCAGAAGTATTCTTGAACCCCCAGCTCTCGAGTGTTTCAGGTGCAAGAATAAAGTTGTAACAAGTGACACATCAGATGACAGAAAATGACTAGTGTCCTGATCCACAGTAAATACATTGCCTATTGTGTAGGACACTACTGGGTAGCCAGGTGACCACAAGCTGAGAGGATTTGAAATATGTCATGATCTGCCTGCAGTGTCATGCCATCTTTAGATTTATGATTATTTTAGAAGTGATCCACTAGTATTCATTAGCAATATTTTTTTATTGCCATGGCTCATGGTTAGAGTCTGTCATCACTCAGGATGAGAAACCCATGACAGCAAGTAAAGTATCCAGATAGAAAATTATCATCAGTATATCTTCTCAGTAGTTATTCTAGATGCCAATAATGAAGTTACCATGAAATAAATAGGAAAAAGTTCCACTGGAGAGGAAAAAAAACCATAAAATTAAAAGACTTCTCACACTAGTGGTTGCACAAATAATATTGTAAAAATGCAATAGCCATCAAAATTCCAATGACATTCTTTA